TTCCACACTCATGTGTGCAGGACTCCAAAAGATCACTATTAAATTTGGCACAAATCTATAGAAAAGTTATCACATGGGTGTATGACTTGACTTTTTTAAAGATGTATGTTAAATTAGTGATGATCATTTGGGGTCCTACACACATGGGTGTAGGAGGGTCTCATAGGACCATTACTATATATATATATATATATATATATATTGAGTAGGATTCCAAGCTTTGGAAGTAAAGCGAATGAGTTGTTCTTGAGAATCAATTTGTTGTTTTAATATTCCTCCTAAACTTTAGGACATAATATTAACCAAGGCATTATCATTCCCATTGATCGATCTATTATATTTGCTGATAAATTCCCTGATAAAATCTTAGATAAAACCGAACTTCAACAATTTCTAGGATGTTTAAACTATATTAGTGATTTCTATAAAAATCTTGCTCTTGATGCTAAACCTTTATATGATAGACTCAAAAAAAATCCTCCACTTTGGACGGATCTTCATACTAATGCAGTTCAACGACTCAAACTAAAAGCTAAAGAATTACCTTATTTAACTTTACCCAATCCTACTGCGTTCAAAATAATTGAATGTGATGCCTCTGAACTCGGTTTAGGAGGAATATTAAAACAACAAATTGATTCTCAATAACAACTCATTCGCTTTACTTCCAAAGCTTGGAATCCTACTCAAAAGAATTATTCCACTGTCAAAAAAGAATTATTAGCTATTATACATTGTGTAACTAAATTTCAAAGTGATATTCTTAACCAACACATTTTAATACGCACAGATTGTAAAGCTGCAAAAGATATTCTGCAAAAAGATGTTCATAATCTTGTTTCCAAACAAATTTTTGCCCGCTGGCAAGCTATTTTATCTGCTTTTAACTTTTCCATTGAACATCTTCACGGTACCTCTAATTCTTTGCCTGATTTTCTTACCCGTGAATTTTTGCAGGGGGGCCGTACATTACCAGCTCTTCCACCTGAAGAGCCACTCCCTTACGGATTACAACTTTTTCATCTAAATATGAATATAAATACTAATACATCTCACAAATCGAAACAAAAAACCCCAATGAACTTAGTTCCTTTTAATTCATCTGAGCCTCTTATGCTCAGCCAACCCTTTTTACCATTACAACCAATGTCTCTACTAAGATCCACCAATGTACCATAATATTTTATTCAAAATCCAAAACATAATACACCAAGTCCTGCTTTGTCTCCAGCCCAAAACCCAAATAAACAAACCTCCTCAGTCCAAATCTGCTTACATAGATAAGGCTTTCCTAGCTGATATTACCATAGATGACAAACACATTCATATTGACCCACATAAATTAGCTCCCATTTATCTTCAAAACCATTTAAACCCGATCAATGGTATCAAAACCCGTGAGTGGTATGAATCAGTTTTAATGGAAACAGGATCAGTTTCTATTGTTCACTTCTTTCAAGGAAATACAAATCTGTATGCTTACTCTAAGCTACAGATCAAAAAATTACTTACCTATGAGGATTGGGGTAACAACCCTACTCAAGGGAAAAAATTATTAGATATTGAATACCAATATAAATATTTTCAATATGCTGAATATATTGAAGCCTGGCATAAAGTCTTTTTATACCAAAATCTTCATAATACTCATTCCTGGTATATACAGTTCAAAATGCTTATACTGGAAAGATTTTCTAGCTGGTTCCGCCATTGGTTCCTTATTTGGGGATCTTCTACCCAAATACTGCAAGACACTTTTTCAAGCCTTCAAAAATAGATTCTCTGAACATAATACATGTACAGATTTGATAGACTACCATCTTTTATTTCATGTCTATATATCAAATACCTTGGATCTGCAAATGGAAGTATGCTATTTCCGAAAATAATTCTAATAATTATACATATATTCCTCGTCTTGGGAAATCTATTAAAATCAAATGGTGGGATATATTTAGCACAGACCCATGTTCTTTTCCTTTCAAAAGGATTCCTCCATCATCTGAGATATATAATACTTATGCTCATAATACTGCACCCAATACTGTTGACCTACATATTTTCTCTTCTTATATTAAGCAAATGAAACAAGCCTATCTTAATGCTACTCTTGTTGAATTAGAAAAACAACTCTTTGGAATATTTGCTGAACCTTCTACAGTACCGGCTACATCAGAAAAAACGGTCCAATCCGGTAATCCCTTACTGGAGGATTTCAGTAAAAAACTAGACTCTTAGGCCCAGGCCCATTAAGTCCAAAAAAATATTCTCCTTATCCAGAAAAATATCTCAATTATCCATAAAGCAGACTTGATAAGACCCTTTGAATAGTGAAAAGCAGGATTTTTCACTTGACAAGACTCCTACACATATAAACAAGCAGAAGTAACCCCAAGCACAGTAATTAGATTTCTTTGCTGATATGACTAAATATTAGTCAAATCAATCCCTTCTTCTTCGAAAATCAAAGCGTCCACGTGTCCCCAATAAATAGTACCATGATTGTCTTTTTATAATAAAGCAAGATTATCACCGACCGCTTTTGTTTTATTTACTGCCACATGGCATCCCATTCCACCAAGCCTTCATCACCGACACTACTGAGACTTCCTCAGCCACAAAAGTAGTCTTCTTTATCTATAAAGACATCTTCCATCATATCATCATCCTCTCAGGCGTGCATCTTAGTCCACCTGGCAGCCATCGACATTCGGCTCCGTCTATAAAACCCCATATTCGCTAAAGTTGAAGGGCGGAGAACAAGGAAACCTCACAGCCACATCAAAAGTCCTTCTTCAACATTCCTCTCTTATTTTTCTCTGTTATTCTCTCTTTCTTTTCTACTACAGTAGATTAGTTTTCTCACAGTCCTGTATACACCGTCTACTACAAAGTCGGTAACTTTTATTCTTACTTTTCTTCATGTGTGATTGTAATTTTTCTTTTCTCCCTACTTACTGTCCATCAGAATGGAAGTTGTTTAATAGCTACTGTATATGTCAACAGTAAGTTTCATGTAAACATTACTATTCCATTTTGTATTGATGCTATAGTTATGAAATGCAGTTGAAATTAGTTTTCAGTATTAAAATTAGAAATTCAACTCATACCTATTGGATTATCTTAGATGTTTCTGTTATTTCCGCTATCTTCATAATATTTTTATTCCTCTATTATATAGGAATTTTACGACAATTAATTAACTATAATTATGCTTTATTCATGTTTTTAAGATAATAATAAAAATTAAGGTTAAGATTTATGTAAAATAAATTAGGGTAGTTCTTGGCGCTATTGATAAAAGTGTTAAGATGTTTAAAATGTTGATCAATAGAATCAGAGAATATTAAGACATCATCAATGTAGACTATCATAAATTTATGATAAGGATTGAATACATCATTCATTATCTTTTGAAATTCAAATGGAGCATTTTTTAGACCAAAAGGCATGG